CAGGACTCCAGCACACATACCCCTTTTGAGTAGCTGCGTACCTCACAAAGATACACTTCACAGCCCTCGGATCTAGTTTTCCCACATTTGGTCTGTTATCCTGCACGAAGCACACACACCCAAAGTTTTTGAGAGGAAGAATATCTCCATTCTTACCTTTCAACATCTCAATCGGAGATTTCCAGTCTAACACTCGTGATGGCATCCGGTTGATCAAATAGGCGGTTGTCAAAATTGCTTGCCCCCACAAGTACTTTGGGACTTTCATCGAAATCATCATACTCCTAGTCACCTCAAGGAGATGTCTGTTCTTTCTCTCTGCTATCCCATTCTGCTCTGGTGTGTATGTACATGTGGTTTGATGTTGTATCCCCTGAGATGACAAGTACTCCCCAAACGCCCTGTTGGTGTACTCTGTCCCATTGTCAGATCTCAATACTTTCACAACTGCATCGTATTGAGTCTAAACTCCTTTATAGAAGTCCTTGAAGCAAGCAAACACATCACTTTTGTTTTTCATCAAATAAAACCACGTCACACGAGAAAAACAATCAATAAAAGAGACAAAGTATCTAAATCCATTCACAGCAGTTGTGGGACAAGGCCCCCATACATCAGAGTGAATCAAATCAAAAACATTACAACTCCTACTACCAGAACTAACATAAGAGCTCCTGGTGTGCTTTCCCAACTCACACGCATCACACACGAGTTTTTCCTAATTAGCCTTTTCAAACAAAGGCGGATACAACCTTACTCAAAATCGGAAAAGAAGGATGACCCAAACGTCTATGATGGAGCAGCAGCAAGTCCTCCACACTCCTCCCAACTCCTCCAACTTCCTCCACAATAGATGAGAGAGCCAAGTCCATACCCTCTCTATCTAGGTACCACAAGCCACTATGTCATGTGTCAGTCCCAAGTTGCCTGCTTGTCCCCTTCTCTTGGAAGATCACCTTGGGAATATCAAACAAAACGACACATTTTAGTTGTGATATAATGGCACTTATGGATAAGAGATTTACAGGAAAAGGAACATGCAAGACATTAGACAAAATCAAAGTGCTGGTACATTTCACTGTGCCCTTACCAACCACGGGTTGGGCTGTACCGTCAGCTGTCTGAATGCTCTCTGGTACTGCTAGGTGAGTATAGGAAGAAAACTCCCTAGCAACACCAGTCACATGACGAGATGCACCAGAATTGACTATCCAATCTGGTGATCTAATGGTGGATATAGAGGCAAGAGCAAGTGTATCACAAGTACCTGTGGCTGAGTGAGCAAAGGAAGCAAAGTTACCCCTGGATGAAGACGAGGTGGACGCATCATCTACCCCACTCTTCCCCTCACATGATGCTTTCTGCTTCCTCTTCAATGCCTCCAAAAACTCATGATCATCTTCGGTAAAGACCACAATTTCCTCACTCTCTCCCTCTGCTACTATCAGATGTGCTTGATAACCTCCTCTTCCACCTCTCCTACCACCTCTGCCTCGACCACGACCCCCAGCATGCACCCTTCCACCGGTATCTCACTCCTTTGGTAGCTTAGGACAAGCTTGCTTCAGGTGACCTACCTCACCACAATTGTAGCACTGTCGGGTCTCGCCCTTGTACCCTGTGTTACCTGAGTTGGAGACTGCAAGTGCTGACTTCACCCTTGAAGCTGCCCCAGCCTGTAGCCTGATCCGGCTCTCCTCCTGTATCATGGCTGAGAGTCTGAGACCGCTTCCTCAAGTAAGGGAATCCTCGTCTGAGCCAGTAGCATAGCAACCCTCTGCTCAAACACCGGGGCCAGACCCTGGAGGAACACCATAACCATGTCCTCCATCTCAATCTCAGAACACACAGGGTCAGTGCAGCATTGTCGTCGGACCCTGAAGTGGTCCTGATCCAGCCATAAGCGATCCAGTTCTATAGCATACTCCTGTACAGTCCTCTCCCCCAGTACCAACGCCAAGATCTCCCTCTTGATCTGATACACTCGCAGGTTGTTCCCAGCACCATCGTATGTCCTCCTCAGCTTCTCCCAGACATCCTGCACCTTCGCTATGCCATCCACTGTGGACGCAATAGGCGAAGTCAGTGAGCTCAGGAGCCAGATATATACCTGCATGTGAGTCGACTTCCACTCAGCTCTCTCGGGTGCATTCTGACCCGACTCCTCTCCAGTCAAGTACCCCTCTAGACCCTTCCCTTCCAGTGTACCGACGCGACCAGCTTAGATAAGTGGTTGGACCCTCGAGTTTCATATCGATCGGTGGCAACTCAACCTTCTGCTTCGGCTTGCTCCCACTCGCTGACATCTTGAATGCTCGCATCAGAACCACGACATCATCCGGACTCAGCTTTGACATCACCTCGGCTAGCGGATTCGTGCTGCCACTCCCCTCCTCCTTCTCGGTCGTCATCGATCTAAGTCTAGATCCACATCACCTCTAACGTCTTCCTCTTCCTTCTAACCCGATGTTGATCTTATCTCATCAAGATTCGAGTCCAAAATACTACAGAACTCAATCAACAACACGATAAAAAAAACTTGCAGCAGCTCTCGACCCTCTCGTTACCAAACAAGGGCTTCAGTCTCTCTCTCCATAGCTCCGGCAGCAATGGCCTTCACCATCATCGAAGCTCAAATCCCCAGAATGCTCTTGAAGCCGGTATCGCGGGCGGAGGCCGACAATCTCTGCCCCCTAATTTCTAGGGTTTTAAGAATCTCAAATTCTTTCAAATTAAAACCCTAACCTGGTGGTGGAGAAACGGTGGTGGCCGGAGGGACTCGGAGAGCGCTGAAGAGTCGCCGGAGACGAGGACTCGGAGATGAGGACTCCAGAGGGAACTGATGGAGGCGGTGGAGAAGCGGTGGTGGCCGGAGGGACTGATCGCGATCTCGAGCGTGGAGGGCGGAGACCGCCGGATCTAGGGCATCCTCAGGTGGCGGCGACTCTGATACCAAATAGAAATTTTGAGAGAGAAAATGAATCTGTCGTGTTTTTTCTTCATTGACCTCTTGGGCCTATATAAGGTGTTACATCTTACATCCAAGCCCCTATCTTTCTACAAATTGCATATCTCAACATTATGTATATTATATGTATTAAAATTAATAACTTACATAAAATCAATATTGTGTTTTCACTTATATAAGAGCAATACATTAGAACTAGATGCAAATGTAGAATATGCATCCAAGAAGTGTACGGTGAGTGTTTTAAATTAAAACATGTGGTATATAACTGAGTATATGCTTGAATAAATGTAGGCATATATTCAAGAAGTGTCTAAGAAGTTTGGGTATAGGTACGGGTACATGTCGAATCAGGTATGGCTTCCAAGTAGAGGTACCTAGGTAACATAGGCTACAACCAATATGTGAGATGTGAAGAGACCTCAACTAGTTGCAAGCAACTGAGTTGTGGATAAAGATATGTTCTATTTTTTCACTTCTGCATCTTATGTTGCATACCCAATATAGCAGAAATTATAACCAACGTAATAGTTGCAAATGTAACACAAGCAAATCTCTCACATTATCCTTCTCTGATTTCAACATCTTGGGGTTCTCCTTCTTGGTGAAAATTATCACCATCCATCATTCTAAAGCCCCAAGATAATTAAAGACCACAATTTCACAAACGGGCCAACATTCAATTGTGTCCAATTGATGGCAAGACCGAAGCCCAGCCTTTTTATCCATGATTGATTCATACGCACCTGGTTCTCAAACGATAAAGACAAGTTCAAACAAGTCGAACGCCGAGCATCACCTGAATTGGTCGGGTCTCTTCTTTATGCTATATCTCGTTGTAGAAAAGTGTCGTGATCTAATTGAAGAAATGTGTGTTTTCGCAAATGAAATACAGATTTGGAGACATTAAGGCAATAAAAGACACTTTGTAGCTTGCAAAGAATCACGAGGAGTTCACGAAAGATAGAAAAAGGGGGAGAGAGCATGGAGGTTTATCAGGTTATTGGGTTAATGAGTTATCAGATCTAGGAGACTTTTGTTGCACACTAGCAAAGTATCACAAACAATTCTCTCATTTATCCTAAATAGAAGTAAACTCTAACATCCTATGAGTCCCCTTATTTCTTATCCTATATCTTAAAGTATATACAATTGACAGTTATAACATTCTCCCTTTTGTCATACTCACTTTTTCACATGTTTCTTAATTCTCAACATATGGATCAATAAAGCATTGTGGCTTTATAACTGTCCCCCGGAATCTTTAATTATATGGGAACTCTATAATCACATAGGACTATAGAAACACTTCTCCAATTTAGCTATCTTCTTTATTCAATGAACCACTTCATTGTCAATCGCACCATATTGACGAATAAGTACTTTTTAACCGTCAATATGTACTATAAGCTCTTTTGTCACAATCTTACTAAATTCCATGTACAATATTTTTATTCCACTAATTCCGAATCTTTTAGACCCAAAGAGGTTCTTCACCTTTCTACTTAAGACATAAGTCATATCCTAGTCTTATTAGCCAATGTTATGTCATCAGCAAATAATGTACAACACGAGACTATATAATTAATGCAAAAAGATAAAGAGTTTAAAGTTGATCTTTCATCCATGCAATTGCATACGGTGGAAAAAAGAACTAGTACAGAAATTAATCGCTCTCCTCCTCCATCATTAATCCTTCTAGTTTGAGATGATTGGCTCCATCAAGCATTGTGAATAGTGACAACTGAGGAGACATATTTTATCCTCAAGAGGTGAAGAACAATGTCAAGAGACATCAACTAGTTACAAGCAACCAAAGTGTCATGGATAAAGATAAGCATTATTTATTGTTTCTGCAACTTATGCTGCATATCTAATATATCTAGAATCCTAAATGACATGAGAGTGACGAATGTAACGCAAGTAATCTTTCCCATTATCATGCTAATGAGATACCACCATTAAAAGAGCACTAAAGAGCTATTTAAATTTGAAAACAATACTCCAACAACCAAGAAACTGAAGAAATTACCTGCATTTTTGGCGTATCTTCTTCCGTCTTCCTTATAATCTTAAGAAACATCGCCTTCCTAGCTGAAAGCACTAGCGAATAAAGCTCTCCATTGTTCCCCTTCTCCTTTCCCCCATCAAACGGCGGCAAGACTTTCCCGATGGTCTCATCCTTGGGATTCTTGGCCACTTTCAGCACCCAATCTAGCATCAAACCTAATGCATCCCTCTTCCTCTTCTTAGAAGAACCTGACTGCCTTTTCGCCACCTCCGGCTCCACGATCACAACATCATCACCTTTTCCGTCATTATCTAGTTTTGATTCCCTCCCTCCCTCTCTCACCGGAGTCAAAAACTGGTTCTTTTTCGACCCCGCGACCGGAGACTTCCCCTCTTCCTCCTTCAACTTTTCGGCCTTCAACGTCTTCGGATTCTCCTTCTTGGCCAAAATTATCTCCATCCATCGTTCAAAAGCCCCCAAATACTTAAAGAACAACAATTTCACGGACGGCCCCACATCCGAATCCAGTCCAACCGCCGCCGAGACAGAGGCCCAGTCCTTTTTGACAGTTACCGACTCATACCCACCCCGTTCTCGGACAACGAAGAACAGCTCGAACAAGTTGATGGCTTTTCCATCGCCCAGCATCGCCGGAACGGGTCGGGTCTCTTTCTTATGTTGGATCTCGTCGTAGAACAGGCTCAGGATCCGATTAAAGAACGACCTGTGTTTTCGCGGTCTGAGATCGGATTCGGGGAGATCGAGACAGTAGCCGATGCTCTGGAGCTTGCGGAGGATCAAGAGGAGTTCGCGAGAGGTTGAAGAAGGGGAGAGAGAGCCCATGGAAGGTTACAGGGTTAGCGGGTTAGCGGCTTATCGGATCTTGGAGGGGTCTAGGGCAGGATTGGGGCGGAGGTGGCGGAGCTATCGCCCGCTGAATCCGCCCATGAGCCCGCGCTTTTCTTTTTTTGGGGGGGTTTGGGGGGGAAATAAATGGCGAAACAGGAGTTATTACAAGATACAAGGATTTGAGATTTTCTTTTTTGTACTTTGGAGGAGTTGAAGATTGCAAAATGGGAGAGATGAAAGGGGCCTAGGTTTTGTTTCCCCTTTATTTAATTTTAAATCCCTCTTCTTTGATGGGATGCTCTTTGGAGTTTTGGGAAGTGGAGGAGGTGGAGGGGAAGGGGTATGATAGAATTTGTTGTTTTTCTTTTCCCAAAATGTTGATATAAAGCACAAAACCCTAGGTGGGTGAAAAGTATATAGGATGAGATTTGTTATTTTTTTAGATGTAGGGGTTGTTTGGTTCATTTCCTAGAATAAAAGAAAAAGAAATAGATAAGAATATCATTAAAATTTGTCTTTCATCCATTTCCTTAAAAAAAATCATGAAATGGGTTTCATTAAAATTGTGTCACATCTTCCAATAAGATGATGGCATATCATCTCATCTCTTCTATTTTCTTACTTTTAAGAGATAAATCAAACAAAAGAAAAGAGCCTATTATAGGAAATAGATTGGGGAAAATGTTTTAAGGCCCCCCAAAAAAAAATCGGATGTGACCCAGCCCCCCATACTTTTTCCCTTATGTTTCAGCCCTTTCACATTCTCCCAGAAATTTTTTTTCCGAAATTACCCTTCCCCTCTTCTTCTTCTTCTTCTTCTCCTCTGCCTCCTCTCCCCTCTCTTCTTCTTCTTCTTCTCCTCCTCTTCTTCTTCTCCAGACCCTTTTATTTAAACAAAAGAGGCAGTGTTTACTAAACCATCCCTGTAGTCTCTTTTAACCCCATCCTCTGCTACTAATGAATCACAAGAGGCCACAATTTTTGAGATCCGCTAGCTACTAAAGATTCTCTCTCTCTCTCTCTCTCTCTCTCTCTCTGATGGCGGAGGTGGCGCCTCGCGAGAGCGATGGAATCCCAGGCGAGCCCTCGGACGCCGTGGTGTTTGTCGGGATCTCTCTCGTTCTCGGAATCGCTTCAAGGCACGTGCTTCGGGGGGCTAGAGTTCCGTACACCGTCGCTCTTCTCATCATCGGCATTGTCATGGGATCTCTAGGTTAATTATTCTCTCTCTGTGTTTTTTGGATGTTAATTTGAGTACAACAGTAGTTTCTCTGTAATTAACTTGAGTTCCTTTGATTAAGTTGATATGGCAGTTTTATATTTTTGATGATTGATGTTTGGTTGTTAAGGCTTTTTTTGCCTTAATTATGTGATTTGTGAATTGACTTAAGGTTTCCACCCCTTGTGAATTGCCTTAAGTAAACTGACGCCTGATGGCTTTTCAGGCTTTAATGATGATGATTATTATTTCTTTTCATTAGAAATAGAGTTAAATTGAGTGTTTTGATGTTGAATTATGTCAACGTATTGAGGATTTGATGTGGATCTGTTCTTTATCTTGATTTCTTGCAGATGAGATTTCTTGCACACAAGGTGTTTGATATAATGCATTGGTGAGAACAAATGGTTTTATTAGAGAGAATGACTCAATCTCAGGTGTGTGTTATAATTTGATGGAATTAAACAAGATTTGAGACTGATGAAAAAAATCTATGCAGGTGAAAACCCAGAGATGATTAGTTGTTCAGAATAATAGTTTTGACTCCAAGTGACAGCTTCACCTATGTCGGAGTTTGAGCGTGCGAATATCAATTAATGGGCAAGACATCTTGCTCATTTTGAAGTTCTGCATAAGCTAATATTCTTATGATTTTCTCTGTAATATTCACACATCCATTTTTTTGGTACTCAAGATGGGCTTGATCGATGGGATAGCCAACTGACAGCTGTTGTGGATGGCAAATTAAAAGCATCCTAACATCACCAATACTTTCTTCTATTTTTCTTCTTTTCTAGTTGGAATATCATGTACAAGCCTGTTGATTGTCTTTTCTGTCTCAACCTTTAACATGGCAAGAAGAATGAGCTGATCTAGGGGCTAGCAGGGTGCCACACGTGGCTGGAGGTGATTCGATGAGATTGATGCTAAATTGCTAATGTTTAACAATTTTCCTATTTTGATTTATTGCTTGGAATTGCTAGCTGTTTGACTACTTTTTCTTTATCTAAACAGACGAAGAACAAAGTGATCCTTGGGTTAGTAAAGCATTAATCACAGCTGGAGGTGACTCAGTATTCTAATATATCCATCATATATTGCTATTTCTTTTTAACATGGTTGAGCGAATGCATGAATTCTATCAAATCGATTGGAAGGAACTTGGTAGTTTCATCTAAAGAGAAGGATGACGAGGATTGTGAATATGAGATGATTTGGGATGCAGAGGGATATTGGCTCGATTTGGGAAGATATTCGATTGGTCTTTGAAGCCCAAACTGATGGGGATTGCTTGCACACAAGGTGTTTGATATAATATCTCGGTGAGAAGAAATGGTTTTATTGGAAAGAATGGTTCAATCTCAAACGTGTGTTATAATTTTTATGGTTGTGGAATGTCGAAGCATCCTCCAGTGACTACTACTCAATTCTAAGATTGTTGTACTGATGATCCTTATGTTGCATCCAGAATTGCTTGTAACATGTTATGCTTCATTGTTTAGTTGATTATACTATGTGTTCTTATGGTTTGGTTGTACTTAGATTAAAATTTAATGAAATGTATTGTGTCTATTTAGTGATCAATTTTGGTGTAATTTGTTACGATTGTATGTGAAATATATTGTGGTTGTCATGTGAATATGTACAACTTCTTTCAAATAGAACTTGATGTGCATAATAAACTGAAGATTATATATAAATTATGTTTATCAAAACCTGAATATTATGATACATAATATGTACATAATCTTGAGGTTATTGTGTACATAATATATACAAATCATGTATATAATCTTCAAGTTACAATACACTATTAAATCTCATTATATGTTAACTTTCTTCATAAATTATGTTAACTTTTATCATTATATGTTAACTCTCATCGTAACATGTTAACTTTCAGCTGAACATGTTAATGTTCATCATAATATGTTAACTTTCACTGTTACATGTTAACTTTCATAATAACATGTTAACTTTCTTCATAAATCATATTAACTTTCATCATTATATGTTAGTTCTCTTCGTAACATGTTAACTTTTAGTTGAACATGTTAAATTTCAGCATAATATGTTAGCATTTACTATTACATGTTAACTTTTACCATAATATGTTAATATTTAACTGAACATGTTAACATTAATCATAACATGTTAACTTTCAAACATGTTAATGTTCACTATAATAAAATTTTTTACATTCTTACAGCTGATATTGCTTGAAAAAAACCTGAGATTAGACTTACAATCTTAGATATTATAAAAATATAATACAATGTGCTACACAAGTCTTGACAACCTACATTGCTCTACCAAAAGTATTGTACTAATAAGCAATCCACACCAATCACCAATTACATTCATAGCTTTTTTTAAACGTTTCTACGAAAATAAAGCAGTGAAAGTTAACAGGTTTGGATGAAAGTTAACATAAAGCAGCAAAAGTTAACATTCAATATGAAAAGTTAACATACTAGGATGAAAGTTAACACGTTCTGCTAAAAGTCAACATACTAGGATTAAATTTGAGCTTGAAAGCACCATTTGGACTAATATCACCTATGTCATCAGTGTAACAAATAAACAATGTTTTCCACCTCCTCATATGTGACCAACACATATACACTAGCAAATGATAATAGTCAAACGGAACATATACATAAATTCCAGGACATTATAAAAACAAACTCCCCAATTTTAAGCATCTCTTGAATCAATTTCAGACACAACAGATCTATCATCTTCTTCCTTCAATGAATGTATCATCTCGGCAACTTGACTCATAGTTGGTCGAGCATCGGCAGATTTGTATATGCACTTTAATGCAATCTGAAGAAGCTTCACCATTCTATCTTCAGGCACTCCTTCATAGAGCATTCCCTTATCAAAAATTTTAACTGTCCATTCCTCTCTCACCACAGAATGCACTCACTAAGACAAATCAAAACTATTATTCTGAACAACTAATCATCTCTGGGTTTTCACCTGCATAGATTTTTTTCATCAGTCTCAAATCTTGTTTAATTCCATCAAATTATAACACACACCTGAGATTGAGTCATTCTCTCTAATAAAACCATTTGTTCTCACCAATGCATTATATCAAACACCTTGTGTGCAAGAAATCTCATCTGCAAGAAATCAAGATAAAGAACAGATCCACATCAAATCCTCAATACGTTGACATAATTCAACATCAAAACACTCAATTTAACTCTATTTCTAATGAAAAGAAATAATAATCATCATCATTAAAGCCTGAAAAGCCATCAGGCGTCAGTTTACTTAAGGCAATTCACAAGGGGTGGAAACCTTAAGTCAATTCACAAATCACATAATTAAGGCAAAAAAAGCCTTAACAACCAAACATCAATCATCAAAAATATAAAACTGCCATATCAACTTAATCAAAGGAACTCAAGTTAATTACAGAGAAACTACTGTTGTACTCAAATTAACATCCAAAAAACACAGAGAGAGAATAATTAACCTAGAGATCCCATGACAATGCCGATGATGAGAAGAGCGACGGTGTACGGAACTCTAGCCCCCCGAAGCACGTGCCTTGAAGCGATTCCGAGAACGAGAGAGATCCCGACAAACACCACGGCGTCCGAGGGCTCGCCTGGGATTCCATCGCTCTCGCGAGGCGCCACCTCCGCCATCGGAAAATTTAGAGATGAGAGAGAGAGAGAGAATCTTTAGTAGCTAGCGGATCTCAAAAATTGTGGCCTCTTGTGATTCATTAGTAGCAGAGGATGGGGTTAAAAGAGACTACAGGGATGGTTTAGTAAACACTGCCTCTTTTGTTTAATTAAAAGGGTCTGGAGAAGAAGAAGAGGAGGAGAAGAAGAAGAAGAAGAGAGGGGAGAGGAGGCAGAGGAGAAGAAGAAGAAGAGGGGAAGGGTAATTTCGGGAAAAAAATTTCTGGGAGAATGTGAAAGGGCTGAAACATAAGGGAAAAAGTATGGGGGGCTGGGTCACATCCGATTTTTTTTTGGGGGGCCTTAAAACATTTTTCCCAAATAGATTTCCCATAATAGATTTTCTTTTTCTTTTTAAAAAAAACCAACCAAACAGTCTCGTAGATGATGAAAAAACTACTTTTGGATTCAAAACAATGAGACCAAATATGGCAAGTGATGTATGTAACATGTCATATTTGTTTTCATAAATTTTGAATCTTAAAAGTTTTTTTAGTGTTAAAAATCAGTGAAGAGATCATTATTTTATTGACAATCATCTATTTTGTTAATAGACGATTTGTGATTTTCTTGAATAAAAAAGGGGGAACATATTGCAAAAAATAACCTATTGTTTCATGTTTTTTTTCATTTTAATGACCTCATTTGTAAAACATTTCACTTAAATAACCCAAAGTTTACCTAAGTTTCAATTTAATAACCTAAAGTTTAAAACGTTAATATTCTATTAAAAGATGTGGGGAATATTCTCATGTAAGGGGTCATGTGACATATGGGGTCATTTATTACCCTTGACATATCATTAATTTACACTCAGTTACTCTTAAGTTATATTCTTCTTCTTCTTCCCCAGATTAAATCTAAATCTAAAAATTTTACATTGTCTCTCCTCAATTCAATGTAAAGAAACATGAAGACAAGCTTAAGATGTCCAAACCCAACATAAAGCATGAGAGGGAGAAGGATGGACGACGACGAGAAGGAGATAAAGATTTGAGAAATTTGAGAAACTTACATTAGAGATGAAACCCTAACTCCAAACTCTAGGTAAATTGAAAAAAAAAACCTTCTTCTAGTTTGAATTGAGTCAATGTGCTACCCAAATCGAGATCTCAAGTTACTAGAGCTATTTACGACATGGTAATTCTGGAGAATATGAGGAATTGCGGTTTTTAACATTGTCTAAATTGCAAATAACTCCCTCATTTATACATCCAGAGGATTAGGAGGAGTATTTTTCCTCTTTATGAGAAATATATCACAATGTCAATATTTTTTAACAGCAAAATACTATAGGTCATTTAAGTGCTACGTTTTACAAATAAAGTCATTTAAGTAAAAACATGGGAAACAATAGATCATATTAGTGCAATTAATCCTAAAACAAGAATGATCCAATATATGGATGTATGGTAAGTGACAAAATTTAGAATAAACCACAATCTTTCATCAAAATCATACACGATCATGAACAAAAAATTTGATCTTTCCACTACATTTTGGTAGTGAACAGATTCAATTCCTAAAAGAAGTATCATAGACGATGATATTGAAGAAAGTATCTGCATCAAAAAGATCTATATCGTTGGATTAGTAAATTGAGAGATTAGTGCAATGCTCCAATGATGAACATCCATGTGATGCATCATTACCAAAATAATAAAAATTAATAGATATTTCTATGTTATCTATGCTTAGCATATAATATCATAGTATATTTTATTTCAATATAAAAGTAATACATTTTAAACTATTATTTAAGAAAGCCACACTTTTGGTTTCACCCCTATGTGTGTTAAAAAACATTTCAACATATGCCCTTAATAATTTATTGTACATTAAAACTAATTAGAAAGACATAATTTGAAAGATCTCAAAACACCATAACTATCATCCACAACTTGATAACTGCGCTCACTGAAGAAATTACAGAAACTCAGAAGAATCAGGAAAACCAGGCGGCGGTCGACCGGTCCGGTCGACCGGATTCGTGCACACTCTCTGGATTTTTGGGGCTTCTGCTGGATGGTGATCGGTCGACCGGGCCGGTCGACCGGAATTGATCGCGGTCGACCGGTCCGGTCGACCGACGCTGTTTTGGGCTGGGCTTTCAGGTTTTCGACCCGATTCGTTTTGTAAGTTCTATATATACCTAAACCTGTTTGTTTAGGGTAGAGGTTGGACGAATTTGAGCAGCCAAAGAGAGAGAATCATTGCATCCAATTGTGAGAGAGCTTTGAGAGATCTAGAGCTTTGTTTTAGGGTTTGGTCTGAGAGATTTGTAACCCTATTTATATTCTCTTGATTTCTAGTAGAAAGAACTCCCCCCTCCTTGCCCCGTGGACGTAGGCAACTTGTCAAACCACGTAAATTCTTGTTCTTGCTGTGATTGTGGTTTGCATATTGTTTGTGGTTTAGTTCAAGTTATTGTTCGTGTTGCCCTAGAAAGCTTCCGCCGAGCACAACAATTGGTATCAGAGCTAGATCGACAACATGGGAGATGCAAGCACGTCAGGTTCATCTCTAACAAAGACGAAGATTGATGTTCCTAAGTTCGATGGCAAGATCAATTTTGGATTGTGGAGGTGTCAGGTGATGGATGCTTTGGATGCACAGAATTTGGAGGAGACTCTTGAGTTAAAAGAGAAACCTGCTGAGTTGGAGGATAAGGTTTAGAGAAAGATGAACAGTAGAGCTTGTGGTGTTATTAGGTCATGCTTGACGCCGGATCTTATATATGATGTTATGAACGAGACGTCGGCGAAGAAGATGTGGGAAACACTCAATGAGAAATATCTTACGAAGAGCATTGAGAATCGGCTTCACTTGAAGAAGAGATTTTACCAGTTCAAGATGAAGAGAGGGGTTTCCATCAGGGAGCATGTCAACAATTTCACTAAGCTACTTTCAGATATGGCCAATGTTGATATTATAGTTGAGGATGAAGACAAGGCGATGCTACTTCTGTGTTCGTTGCCCGAAGATGATTATGGTACGTTCGTTCTCACTATGATCAATGGAAGAACTACAGTTAGCTACAAGGAGGTGACCTCAGCTTTGGTGAACTATGAGTTGAGGAAGAGTGATGGTGAATCCTCCGAGAAGGCATCGGGAGATGCGTTAGCAGTTCGAGGCCGAGATCCAAACCGTCGTCAGTTCAACCGCTCAAAGTCAAAGAATAGGAGTGCCTATAAGAGTGTTGGTAGAAATCAATGTCGGTATTGTAAAGAAGAAGGACATTGGAAGATTGACTGCCCAAAGTGGAAAGAAAAAGCCGGAAAGAATAAGGGGAAAGCTGCACAAGCTTCAGAAGTGAATGTTGCAAAAGCTATTGGTGAGCATTCAGATTCAGATTCTTCAGGCTATTCATGCCCTGCTTTACCATCGGTTTGCTATGCGGATTCCACGGAGTGGATGATGGATTCGGGAGCTACATATCACATCTGCCCTAAGAGGGAGTGGTTTTCTAGCTTTGAGGAGCTGGAAAGAGGGGATGTCGTGCTTATGGGTAATGATCACGTATGCCCTATTGGTGGTATTGGTTCAGTCCGGATCAGGATGCATGATGGTGTAGTGAGGGAATTGAAGGAAGTGAGGTTCGTGCCGCAGTTGACGAAGAACATCATTTCTCTTGGGACTTTGGAGGCAGCAGGATATCGAGTGATCTTAGAGGATGCTACAGTGAAGGTCACGAAGGGTTCTATGGTGGTGATGCGAGGTGTCAGGGAAAACTACCTATACTACTTGAAGGGCAAGACAGTTACAGGGGGTCTGGCAGCTTCTATCACTACAGAGGAGGACACTACCACCTTATGGCACATGAGACTTGGACACACAGGAGATAAGTCCCTACAGTCATTGGCTAAACAGGGGCTATTGAAAGGTGCTAAGACCTGCAAGATGGAATTGTGTGAGCATTGTGTACTTGGGAAGAAGACTAGAGTGAAGTTCGGCACCGCTGTTCATAACACCCAAGGTACATTGGATTATATTCACACGGACGTTTGGGGTCCTTCTAAGAACACATCTCTTGGTGGGGCCAACTATTTTATCACTTTCATTGATGATTATTGCAGGAGGAATTGGGTATACCCGATGAAGCATAAACATCAGGTCCTGGATATTTTTGTGGAGTGGAAGAAGAAAGTGGAGCTGCAGACAGGTAGAAAGGTGAAGACTCTACGTTCAGATAATGGTGGAGAGTACAAGAGTGATCTGATTCTGCAGTTTTGCCGGGATCACGGTATTAGAAGATACTTCACAGTTCGAGAGACACCGCAGCAGAACGGGGTGGCTGAGAGATTGAACCGTACCTTGCTGGAGAAGGTGCGGTGTATGATGACGCAGAGTGGATTGCCTAGATCTTTTTTGGGCGAGGCGTTGGTTTATGCGAGCCATCTTGTGAACAGGTTGCCGTGCACTGCGATAGACGGGAAGACTCCTTTGGAGCGTTGGTTTGGTTCGGTGGCTAGTGACTATGAGTCGCTTCGGATATTCGGGTGTCCAGCTTATTATCATGTCAGTGATGGTAAATTAAATCCGAGAGCGAGGAAAGCAGTCTTTGTGGGATTTAGGGATGGAGTCAAAGGCTTCAAGTTATGGGATCCACAGGACAAGAAGATAGTTATTAGCAGAGATGTCACATTTGACGAGGCGTACATGATGAGGCCTCGAGCCCCTCAGCAGGTGGAGGGAGACCAGACAGGAGAGATATCGCAGCAGGTGGAGGATGATGTGACTCCACCCACTCCAGAGAACACTGTATCCATTGAGGCTCCTACAGAGGTGACACTGGGAGGAGATGAGATGACAGATGGGCAGATACAGGATACAGTAGATCATGATCATGGGACTCATGAACAGGGTCATGTTCAGAGGTCCATTGCAGCAGATAGACCGAGGAGAGAGATTCGTCGGCCAGCTAGGTATAATGATGTCATGGTCGCATATGC